CTGCCAGCTTCATCCCTGGGCAGGTGCGAGGGCTCTGGCCCAGCTGGTTCTGCAAACACCCAAGGGCAGACACCTGGGGGCTCCCAGAGCCTCCTCAGTGTAATTACTCAATCACCCAATCACCCAGCCAGTATTTAACCACGCCCAGCCCGGGGAGCCAGCGTGGGGGTGAGGCCTGGTGAGCGTGGGGGATTGAGCTCAGGTGAGGCAGGGTGCCGTTGTCATGGCAACTACAGCAGCCTGGTGGCAGGGGGTGGGCCTGGCCGTCGGGGGCCTGTGAGGAGCCCAGGCTGCCAGCTTCATCGCTGGGCAGGAGCGGAGCTCTGGCCCAGCTGGTTCTGCGAACACCCTGAGGGCGGGCACCTGGTGGCTCTCAGAGCCACCTCAGTGTAATTACGTAACCAAACCCCACGAGTACACCCTGCCGGTGAGCCTTGGCGGGCGGGTGAGGGCCTCGGTGGGCAGGTGAGGGCCATGGCGGGCGGGTGAGGGCCTCTCGAGCGGTTACATATATTTTTTATTGATTTCAGAGAGAGGGAAGGAGAGGGAAAGATAGAAACATCAATGAGAAACAGTTGTCTCCTGCATGCCCCCTACTTGGGATCACATCCACACCCGGGCACGTGACCTGGTTCATGGGTCCACACTCAGTTACTGAGCCACACCAAGCTGAGTTAGGTTTCTTTAAAAATATATTTTTATTGATTTCAGAGAGGAAGGGAGAGAGAGAGATAGAAACATCAACGATGAGAGAATCATTGGTCGGCTGCCTCCTGCACACCCCACACTGAACCCGCAACCCGGGCCTGTGCCCCAACCGGGAATAGAACCGTGACCTCCTGGTTCATTGGTCAATGCTCAACCACTGAGCCACGCCGGCCGGGCTGGGCTAGCTTTTACTTGTAAAAGGACAATAAGCATTTGTTATAGAGCAATGGTGGATTCTAAATGAATTCCAAACCAAGTAAAAACAAGATCCTTCTGAGGAGAAGGGCCTCGACAGGGGTGCTCACTATTCCAGTCCTTCCCCTGTGTGTGCACGTGTGTAGCTGTGTTCCGCGCCCATGGTGCATGTGTGTGCCTGTGCGTGTTCATGCATGTGCGTGTGCACTTGTGGGTGTCAGGTGGGGAGGATTCTGGGGCGTGTGCTCTTCCGGAAGCTCATTTCCCGGAGGTGGGCGCTGCCAGCCTCCCTCTTGTCCGTGGGCATTGTCTGTGCCCCTGCAGCGGAACATGGGCCGTTTCCGGTTTTCCCTCCCCCGTCGTGCTGAAGGGAACCGCGGCGTCCATACACCTTCCCTTGTTTATTTAGGACGGGGTCTAGGAGTGGAGATTCTCGGTCTAACGTCACACGATTGTGAGGTGTTGGGCAGTTTCCTACATCGGGTCACGCTGAGCCTTATTTGGGGAAAGCAAGGGGCATGGAAACCTGGGGCTGACCCCTCAGGCCGGCAGGGAGGAGGAGCAGGGCCTGGAGTGGAGGTGATGAGGGTCCAGCTATAAGCCAGTCCGTGGCTGACAGTCATGGGAGCCTCCTGTCACGGAGTGACCGAGAGGTGCCCGGCTCACACAGGAGGAAGGACAGGGTAGGTGCCCGGGGTCAGGGAGGGGCTGGGGCTTCATGGTAGTGGGTGGTATCCGGGGAAGGAGACGCCCCGGAGATGGAGGAGGTGATGGCTGCCTGAAATCAGAGCCTTTGCCACTGCAAAGCACCCAGGCATTCCCATCGGACACAGACCTCAGAGGACACAGACCTAATGGGTGACTGCCCTGTCCCTCCCCGGGAGGGACCAGCGGGGCCAGGAGCCCCAGCATTTCACACCCCGGGAGGGGGGGGCCTCCCTGAGGGGCACAGAAGTCCTTTGGAGCAAACGACACAGGTTTTCTTGACCATTAGCAACGTCCTGTTCTCAGGCAGAAATACTTGCTTCAGTCCCAGGGAACCTGCAACCCCCAGTGAACTCAGGGTGGCCTGAGGCGATGGGGAGGGGCTGCCCTGCTCCCAGTGGGCAGTGGCAGGACCTTGGGCTGATGGGCAGCCAGGCGGCTGCCAGGAGGGTCGGAATCAGGCCTCACTGGCACTTGGGTCTCACCTGCACCTGCACCTGGACCTGCACCTGGACCTGGGCCTCACCTGCACCTGCACCTGGGCCTGTGCGCTGAAGGCGCCATTCAGCTCTGAGCAGGACTCAGGAAGGGAAAGGAAGAGAAAGGACTGGCCTCAAGCAGGAGCCAGGGCCCCTGGGACTGTGGTAGGACCCCCTGCCCTCCCTGGGAGTGACTTCATCTGGGACCCTGTTTGTCAGGAGGGGCCAGGACCACCTGCCTCACCGGAGCGGAAGGGCCCAAGGGGCACCCAGGGGGAGCGATGGCCAGGCCGCTCCATGCCCCGTGCCAGGGAGTGGGGCCGGTCTCCTGCTGCCTGTGCACAGGGTGGAGGTGCCCCAAGGCCTGTGTTTGGGGGGTGGGGCAGTGACAGGCCTCTGTGGTTTCCT